CCATGTTGGTCAGGCTGGTCTCGAACTCCCGACCTCAGGTGATCCACCCACCTTGGCCTCCCAAAGTGCTGGGATTACAGGCTTGAGCCACCGTGCCCAGACCAGGATTTTGTGTTTTAAGCTAAGTGTTATTACAAAAGTCAAAAAGTTAAAAAAATTTAAAGGTTTATAAAATAAAGTTACAGTAAGCTAAGGTTAATAATGTATTATTGGAGAAGGAAAAATTTAATAAATGTAGTGGAGCCTAAGTATACAGTAGTATACAGTAACGTCCTAGATTTTTACATTCACTCACCACTCACTCACTGACTCACCCAGAGTGACTTCAGTTCTGAAAGCTCATGCATGGTAAATGCCCTGTACAGGTATACCATTTTTTATCTTTTAAACTGTGTGTATGTGTGTGTGTGTGTATATGTGTATGTGTATGTGTGTGTTTTAAGATCTCGATTGGCTTTATTTGTGATTCTAGAATCAGGCAACACTTCATTTCATAAAATAGAATAAGTGTTCCCTAAGCCATATTTTTACTTTACCTTTTCTATGTTTAGATGCACAAATATTTAGCATTGTATTACAGTTGCCTACACTATTCAGTACAGTAACATGCTGTACACGTTTGTAGCCTTAGAGCAACAGACTGTACCATACAGCCTAGGTGTGTAGTAGGCTATACCATCTGGGTTTGTGTAAGTACACTGATGTTTGCACAACACAAAATCACCTGACAATGAGTTTCTCAGAATGTATCCCTGTTGTTAAGCAACATATGATGGTAGATCTGGCATTGGATCAGATATACAACATGCTTTATATTATTAATCCTATATTTTAATCTATGTTAAGATTATTTACATTGAAATTGTATTCCCATTATTCACCTTATGGCCTCTTCTGACATCTATATTCGCTTGCTCTTTTACTTGAAATCAGAACCACTGTTAAAGAAGTTTTATTGTCATCATGCATTATCCATGCCTTTATCTTCATTGCTGTAAAAACTTTTGTACACATTTCACCTGTGTTAAGATAGCTCCAAAACAAATCAAGTCAGACACATTTGCTGCTATCAAGGAGTTTTTATTTTAAAATGTTTATAAAAGTAAAATTTACTCTCTATAAAGTATTGAATCTCATTTGGCAAGCAGTTAACTGCTTAACTACTGGAAGGACGCCTCTATTTCTGTTCTGTGTCAAGTCTGAAGTCCTGTTTGACTCTATGTATATTTGACCTATCTTCATATTTTTAAATTACTCATCTCTGTTCTGACTTTTTAAATCTTAGTTTTGTCTTAAACTTATGAACTCTTAAAAGTGTATACTCCTTTTGGTTAGGAGACCAAGACCATCCTGGCTAACACGGTGAAACCCCGTCTCTACTAAAAATACAAAAAATTAGCTGGGCATGGTGGCGGGCGCCTGTAGTCCCAGCTACTTGGGAGGCTGAGGCAGGAGAATGGCATGAACCCGGGAGGTGAAGCTTGCAGTGAACCGAGATTGCGCCACTGCGCTCCAGCCTGGGCAACAGCGCGAGACTCCATCTAAAAGTGTATACTCCTTTGGTCCAGCTTCTTTCATTCACCATACCGTCTGTGAGATTCATCTGTATTGTCATATTTTGCATGGATCAGTAGTTCGTTCCTTGTTATTGTGGAGTAGTATTCCATTGTATGACTATATCACATTTTGTTTATTCATTCTTCTGTTTGTGAGCTTTGGGGTTTTCTCAGTTTTGGCTGTTGTGAATAAAGCTGCTATGAGCATTTAAAGTCTCTTTTGCAGATACTTTTTTTTTTTTTTTTTTTGAGATGGAGTTTTGCTCTTGTTGCCCAAGCTGGAGTGCAAAATAGCATGATCTCGGCTCACTGCAACCTCCGTCTCCCGGGTTCAAGCAATTCTCCTGCCTCAGCCTCCCGAGTAGCTGAGATTACAGGCGTGTGCCACTATGCCCGGCTAATTTTTTGTAGAAACAGGGTTTCACCATGTTAGCCAGGCTGGTCTCGAACTCCTGACCTCAGGTGATCCGTCTGCCTCAGCCTTCCAAAATGCTGGGAATTACAGGCGTGAGCCACTGCACCTGGCCTCAGATACTTTTTTTTTAAGAGACAGGGTCTTGTTCTGTCACCCAGGCTGGAGCTCTGGGGTGGATGATAGCTCACTGCAGCCTCAAACTCCTGGGCTCAAGCAATCCTCCCGCCTCTACCTTTCAAAGTGCTGGGACTGCATGCGTGCATCACCATGCCTGGCTAATTTTTTTATTTTTTTGTAGAGAGAGGGTCTTGCTTTGTTGCCTGGGCTGTTCTTGAACTCCTGGCCTCAAGAAATCCTCCCACCTTGGCCTCCCATAATGTTGGGATTACAGGCATGAGCCACCATGCTGGGCCACTTGTACCATTTTATTATTTTAGTATACGTGCTGCCGAAGTGAGCTCTCTACTGTTTTATATTCTCTCTAGCAATATGTGAATGTTCTGGTTGATTCACATTTACTTTTGTCAGTCTTTAATTTTAGACATTCTAGAACATATGAAGTGACATCTCATTGCAGTATTAAAATGCATTTCCTTGATGACAAATGCTGAGCACTTTCTTTGTACTTATTGGCCATTGTGAATCTTCCTTTACGAAGTGTTTGTTCACATCTTTTACTTATTTTCTAAAAATCGGCTTATTTCTTTTCTTAGCAAGTTGTTTCGTTTTCATTTTTCAGTCTGGATACAAGTCCTTTGTCGGATATGTTTTGCACATATTTCCTCCCAGTCTCGCTTGCCTTTTCATTTTCTTAATGAGTTTTGGGGTTGTCTTATGGTGTTGTTCTTACCCTGTATGTCATGTGTTATTTTTCTCTGGCTGCTTTTAGGATTTTCTCTTTGTATTTCAGTGGTCTGACTATGGTATGCTTAGAGGTGGTTTTCTTGTTTGGGGTTTGTTGAGCTTTTTGGATCTGTAGGTTGATGTCTTTCACTAAATGTGGGATGTTTCTATCCATTATTCAAGTACTCCAAGGCTCTGCTTATTTTTCCTCAATATTTTTTTCTCTGTTTTTCAGATTGGATAATTTCTAATGCTCTAACTTTAATAACTGTTCTGCCATCTCCAATCTGCTGTTAATTGAACATTTTGTTTCAATTTACTTTTTAGTTCTAGAATTTCCATTTGATTATTTTCCATAGTTCATATTTCTTTGCTGAAATACCCCTTTTATTTATTGTGTCTTTTTCACTTGAGTCCTTGAACATATTTATAATGGCTGATTTTAAATCCTTGACTGATAATTATATCATTGGGGTTATCTTGGAGTTGGTTTCTGTTGACAGCGTTTCGGTGCATATGTGTCATGTTTTCCTTTTTCTTCCTATAACTCGTGATTTGTTATTGGGTACTGGACATTGTGGAAACTCTGGATTCTGTTATATTCTTCTGAAATGTGAATTTTGTTCTAGCAGACAGCTTGACCCAACTCAGACTCGACTCCAAAATCTTGTCTCTCCTGTGTTGGGCAGCAGCTGAAATCTTGCAGTGTTTTTCAGCTTCCACCATCTGCTTTATTGATGGGCTGCCTGGGATCTCCCCTGGGTATGTGTAGTTCAGCAGTGAGAGAAAACTTTGAGTGGATTTTATATGCATGAATTGGGCTTTATTCCTTCTGCCTTTCCCTCAAGCCTTGCCCCTAATTTTTTGGCTATTCTGTCAGCCCTGAACTTGAGTTGTCCTCTGACACCTCAAGCTAGTAAGGTGAGGCTAACCAAGCTGTTAGTGGATTAGGGAG